CCCCACCCTCGCCCCAGACCTGCCCCTCAGCAGAAGCCCTTCTCTCCTGTCCTGGGGCGGGGGCTCTGCTCCCTGAAGTGACCCCCTGGCCCGGACGTGTGGCCGAATCACCCGGTCACTCCCGTCCCGCCGCCGGGTCAGGGCTGCTGGGTTCACTGCTGCCGCACGCGGCCTGGCCGGCAGCCTCTGTGACTAGGCTCTGCCGGCAGGACCCGCTCCAGGGTGGGGAGCAGGCGCGGCTCGGGGCGTAGGGAGCTCCTGGTGGAGCGTCCGGCTCCAGACTCCCTGGCACGGGGTTGCCCTGACCTGCTTATCCATCCTCGGATTCCTCCACCTTGGACCCCACTCCCAGCCTGCAGACCGTGCTCGGGGGTGGCAAGGGCGCAGGGATGGGCTGGCTCTGGGTGAGGGTGGTGTCAGCAGAGGCTTTGGGCAGTGAGGGGCCAGCCCTCTGGGGCCATGCCTCAGCAGCCTTGGGGGAGCAGGGGGGCGTTCGGGCAAGGCTGGGGTGGGGACCCGGCTGCTGGGCCATCCTTAGGGGCTCCTGCTAGCTGGGGTGACACCGAGGGGACCGGGCAGTGGGTCTGGAAAAGAGTGGGTGTCAGGGGAGAGCTGGCCGGGTTGGTGGGGGCGTCTTGCCCTCTCTGGGCCAGCTTCTCCCTTCTGAGAGTGGGGTGTCTGTGGTTTAGGTGGCCCGCGGGGGGCTGCCCCACCCCACACTCACGCCTCTGGAGGCTGGCACCTCCACCTCTGCCCGCTCCCACAGCGGGTCTTCCCACACCAGGGGTGCCAACAGGAGGGTGTGCTGGCGCCATGTCCTGGGTGCTGACGCAGAAGGTAGGAGGCAGGAGGGGGAGGGCAGAGGTCAAGAGTGGGTGAGGTCCGCAGGGGTTCCTCTGGACCTCATGCTGCAAGCCAGCCACTCTGTCGGGCATGGTGAGGGGCTGCCTCAGGTCCGGATGGACACAGTAGCCAGTCATCTGGGCTGGGAAGCCGGCCCCCGCGGGACACCTGGACCCTCCCTGCAGGCCCCAGCAGTGGGGGCGGTGGGGCACTACGGAATCCCAAGGGCCAGCTGAATGCAGCGACTTCATCCCTGGGGTCTTTGGGGCCTGGGGGAGCTGGCGTTTGGTGGAGGCCGACCTCCTGGTCTGGGTGTGAGCATGGCACCCTGGGCACTCAAGCCTGGGCCGGGCCACCTCTGGCCTATCTGGGTTTGTGCCAAATGTCCCGATTAAATGGTGCTGGCTTCTGAGGGGCAGGGGTCCTGTGGTTCTTGGCCCTGGCCTGGCCTGGCTCTGAACGATGTCATCGGGGGTGCTCGCCAGTGGGCAGTGGCCAGTTCCCAGAGTGTGACGTTGGCACCTGAGATGGGCTCTGAGCAGGGGCTGGAGGCCTGAGACAGGAGGCACCTCTCTGGCCTGGGGGCCTGGGCTCCTGGGGTCGACCAGTGAGGAGAAGCAGGCCTTTCTGGGGATGGCCCCACAGCTCCCCTGACCCTCAGCCCCCTCCCAGAGGAGCTGTTGTCCTTGGAAGCTTAGCTTCGCTAGATGTGGGGGCACCATCAGGGCCTGGGCATGGCTTGTGGGGCAGGGCTGGGCGTCGAGGGGCTCACGGGCACATTTGCCCCTCAGAGACTGGACCCACGGGGATGCCGCGGCCAGGCCCACGCTAACAGCTGACCTCACAGTCCTCTGCAGCCTCGCCTCGGCTTGCAGTGGGAGCTGTTGCCTAATTAGGTTCGGCTGTGCCAGCCCAGCCCAAGCCCCACACCCGGCCTGCGCTCCGGCAGACGTGTCCGGGCATGGCTCTGGGACTCCCGCTGCAGCAGGAAACCGTGGTGCCTGCTCGGGAACCCAGCTGGAGCCACAGCGGCCTCCCGGGCTGTGTGGCCAGTGGCCTGGGGTGGTCTAGCTGCCTTGAGGAGCCACCCACAGGTAAGCCTGGGGTCTGGGCAGCCGGTGGGGCACCCCGGAGGTGGGTAGGCCTGTGAAGGGCTGAGCAGGCCCGCCAGGCTTGGGTGGGCGAGGCCTCTGGGCTGAAGGGAGAGTCCCAGGCTCTGGGCGCCCCAGGGCCTTTGGGCTGCCTGGCGCCCCTTCCCGAGGATCTGGGGGCAGGAGGACCAAGTGGAGGGCGGGGGGCACACCAGGGTGGAGGAGGGCAGGCTGCCAAGGGCCCTCCTTCCTGGGGGTCCTGGGGAGCCTGGGAGGCTGGGCTGGAGAAGAACATGAGGTAGGGCTG